GGGGGTAGGGCAGAGGTGGAGAATGCAAAGCGATGCGCGTTTTGAGCCGAGAGTTTTAACTGCGAGTTGGTAAAAAGCCAGCATACCCTTAGTTTAAAGGCTACGTCAAGCAGTGAGAGCCCCACAATCAGTGAATGATCGGAAAATCGATAAAAAAGGTCAAGTCTTGCAAAACAATAAGTTTGCTGAACAAACTACCTGAGGACGGATTACGCCGGATTTTACACAGCCTCAAAACTATCAATAGACACCAGGTACATGGAAGCAATCAGATAATAATCGACATAACTAAAAGAGATTTTAACTCAGGTTAATTGAAGAGATGATAAAACCGAAGGGCATTTCAAAAAAAGCAGACATATAGCAATCCGACGTGAGTGGTAAAAAAAAATCAATAACTAAGCACAATTATGCCCCATACAATACTTACACGGAGATGCTCTGAAGGCGTAGAATTCACTGATGGGATTTAATTCACCCGTGAATGGCTGTAAACGATGCGAGACATCATCCGCAGGGCTATCAGGTGGTGTGTACATAGCTGAAATGACAAAATCAATCGGATTAGGTGAAATATCAATAACGGACACACACACACACACCAACCCCCCTCCTTTACAAAGTGCGTCTCTGTATTCACGGTAGTCCACACCTTGAAGAGACGTATTATAGCTAGATGTATCGGCGGATTTAGTATTGGTTACTCAATTGGGCGGATGAGGTTTTTGGACAACTCAGTATTCAGCTCAAATTTCCCAGACCTACTGAAACGAAGCCAATTGGGAGGGACACTTCGTGTTAAATTGGCATTATTCCGTGTGATGGAAGATTTCGTTCGCTGGGTGTGAACTGACGAATATAGAATCATAGATAATTTGAGCAGACATTGCCGGACTATGACCCATATCACTTCTATTAGTTGAGCGGAGGCACTTATAAGTGCCTAAAGCACGAGGAAGACAGAAAAAACAATTAGTAAGTGAAATTGACATTTACTCTCTTCAACACTTCCACCAGCCATAGCATCGAGTTCCTCTGAATTCGACGGAGAGAAATCTGCAAGAGACTCATTTCCCATTCCGCCGCCGCCGCCGCCACCACCCCCACCACAGTTACCGATAGACATTGGATAAGACCCGACAGGGAATCCTGCGCCAGGGCCAATAGGAGGGGCGTTTTGATTGGAGGATGGACCAAAGAGTTTCTCCTCAAAGATCTCACCCAGACCGTCGCCGGCAGATGCGAACATCTCATCAGTGGAGCCTCTGTGAGTACTTAAGGAGGAAGGCATGCCCGCGGCGACCTCCAAACCAGTGGGCGAAGCGGAAGAAGGATAGCCACATGGGAGGGAGCCGGAGGTGCCTGGTGCTGGAGCCTCCTCTTGCTCAACTAATTCAACATCGTGGATACCGATTAGAGCACTGTAGTCCATTAGATTGTTTTCTTGAAGGAACTATAGGATAGGACACAAAACAAAGTCGAAAAATAGAAATAGCTTTAAAATGGGAAAAGAAGTCGTATGTGGCAAACTGATTTTTGAATTATTATTTGCTAAGCGAATCACGCGCAATGACCATAAAAAGTAAAGATCTATTGAGTTGTAGATATTTTAATGGTAATAAAAATTTGCGCTTAGTGTGGTGTAAAACAATTTAGTGGTGTGTGGTACCAAGATGAGAAAAGTGAATAACTCAGTTTTAATGATAACTGTCTATCACATAAATGGGAAATTGGCGCTAAGGACATGAGAGAACCTGATGATTAAAACAGCATTGAGAGCTTCAAAAATAATAGTTTGATTGGTAGAAATATAACAATAGTCACATCAATACAGGCTTATTTCGTAACTAAACTCTTCAGATTCATCATTTATATCAAATGGCAGGCGCTTTGATAGTTATCATTAGCCCTTTATTTGACTTCAGGCTTCACAGAGGGAGAGGAACATCAATGTGAAAAGAGTTGAGAGGGGGGGGGGGGGAACAGAAGAGGGTTTTAGAGATGTAAAAGAGACAGACACAAAGATAGATGAAAGGTGAGGTGAGTACTATGGAAGTAGTGGAATATGACATACAGTGGGGTGATGGNGGGGGGGGGGGTGAACAGAAGAGTGTTTTAGAGATGTAAAAGAGACAGACACAAAGATAGATGAAAGGTGAGGTGAGTACTATGGAAGTAGTGGAATATGACATACAGTGGGGTGATGGTAGTTTGAAGTCAGAAGTCAACTGCCGGTTAATAGACTTTTTTGCCGTATGAACATACGTTGTGCCCAGGATGCACCACGAGGAGGTAAGTCAACAGATTCATCATAAGTTTGCCTTTCCTTTGGAATGCCGAAATCCCAGAGGCCTGATGAAATTCCCACATAGGCAGGGGGCGGGCATCCAAAAATATGGGTAGTCAGCAGTAGGGTGGAGCGAGACCGGTGAAGTGAAATGCATAAGCCGGACTATTTCAGGTGCTGTAGAAGTGTTAATTTATTCAACGTGGTCAGGAAGAATCCTAATCCTTTTTTTTACGCCAATGCGTAAATATATACACGCGAGGGCTTCGTAGTTATGATGCAAGTCTGCACCAAGCGGAAGTATTTATGCATAGAGACAAGACGTAAGCCTACAGAGATACTTACTGGAGACAAAAGGCGCCATTACTAAAAATGTATCAAGAATTTTGTTCACTTCGCACTTAAAGTTTAGATATACTATTATTACCTCATGCACAATTGCAAACATTTCATGAAAGTAAAGGTTGTTTTTACAAATATGTCAGTGTTTAGAAGACAACTCACAGCAATATCACGTTCAAGGTTCTCCAGAAGTCGCTGTTTGGACGATTCCTCCAGATTAAGTTCACAGATGTCATTCATGAAGTCATTGTCCTTCAGAGTGGGTAGTGGTCTGCTCTAGAACAGGAAGACCAGCTTAGGCGTGGTGGTATTTGGATATGCACCCCCTTCCCTCCCCTCCCCTCCTCCTCCTCCCCGGAAGGAATTAATTATATTCACCCAAGTTTAATTTTTTTTTTCAGCGAGACAGGTGCTGCTGGCCAAGTTAAGGGCATGTCAGAGGCGAAAAAAAATACGATGCAAAGGTGAGTTGGATGGAGGTCGCGATCAGTTGCCGTTGCTTACCTTATAACTTCGAGTTTTCCGTTTGAAAGTCTGGATAGAGAGATAAACAGCAGTGAAGTGGGTATTCCGATGGCAAATCTAAGTAAAGTCAAGTATCATTCCACATCTAGGCAGTAAGAGCAATCCAAGAAGGGTCGAGTGCACTCTTTCCTTTATTTGTTTTTCAAAGTCACACACCCCCCCCCCTCCCTCCCTTATGCCATTTACTTATTGGATCGTCCACTCTGCCTTGCCAACCGAAAATTAATGCTTACCACTTGTCCCGTGGATTGCGCAATTGATGGCCACATCACTACAAGAATATCCCAACTCCTCCGCGAACAAACACACACACACACAAATGAGATTTGAAGGAAAATAAAAAAACTTTTAGTTATAGCCGCCTTAACGCACCCTTCCTTCCATTAAATTACATTCTAAGGTGGGGTGTGGGATAGACTTACCTCTTCGTGGTGCACCCTGGGCAACGTATACTCATAAGGCAAAAAGTTCATTAACTGGCAGTTGCCTTCTCACTTCAAACAACCATCACCCCCCACTGTATATCATATCCGACCCCTACCACAGTACTCATCTTACCCTTTCTGAGCCTTTGTGTCTGTCTGTCTCTTTTACATCTGTGAATCACTCTTCTATTCACCCTCCCGAATTCTTCTCACCTTGATGTTCCTCCTCCCCTCTGTGAAGGACGAAGTCAACTAAAGGGCTAATAATAACTATGAAAACGCCTACCATTTGATATAAATACATTCTAGGGCTAAAATCCAACCCATTACAATAAGAGCAATTAAGGCATAATTAGGTAAAACAAGCGGTCATTAGTTGATGCGCGTACGACGACAGTAAAAAACGTGTTCTCAAACCAATATTGCAGAAGCTTAATGGAACTTAATGACTAAAGAGAGAGAGAGAGAGAGAGAGAGAGAGAGCAAGTCAGGCTAACTTCTGGCAAGTACAATCAATTCAAGGTGCCAATAGCAGCAACCCACAAGGCACCTCTCTAATAAAATGACACACAATTTCTGGCAAGTTTAGTAAAGCAAAAAATAAGGCGAAAGATTTATACACTTCCACTTGCTCTTCTGGGTATTGCCACAGAAAAGACCTGTTACTACATAACTGATATGAGTTCAAAGGTTTGCTGAAAAAATTCCTGACAGGTATATATACAAAAAGGGTATTTGATTAAAGCGATGTAAATTCAGTAAAACATCTATATTTCGTCAACTTCAAGGGGTCTTTTAGTACCTCTTTATCTATATATAATTTTTATTAATCGAGATTGATGCAGCGACAGGAGAGTGTTTAGAGATAGAAATGACTTATATTTCCAGAGCCTCTGCACTTCTAAGAACGAAGAGAGGTGATATTGCCCTTCATCTCAAGTAGATCTTTCAGAACACCACAACTTAAGCCGCAAGCCACAGGCTATATTTGCATGCGACATGAATCAAGACGAATATAGTTTCTTCGGATCTGGTGCAATTAATTTTTTTTGCAGATACTCAAAGGCAATTTTTAGTCAGAGCAAGCATTTGCTACACTAAGGCCAAAATCCGATGCATAAAAATGCACATGACAACATGGGGAATATAAAGAAAAGAAAAGGTGAAGGGCAACTCACTTTTTCCTTTTCATTGGCTTCTCTGTCCACAACCGAGCCCTAGAAAGAAGGCAAGAAAAGACAGCGTCGATTAGACGTTAATGAAAGGAAGGGTGGGGGGGGGGGTAACGGCAAATCATCGGCAGAGAGGTAAGCAGGAGAAAGAGGGGGGCGGGGCGGGGCGGGGGGGGGGCGGAAGGGCAACGCAAGAGACACATCACTGCAGACCGTCTCACACAAGAATCATCTTGAAAAAAGCACACGCATGGGAAGGACCAAAAGAAAAACAATATAACCCGGTCAGCTGCGTCGAGCACTCTCCACATCTGGAGGCGGAGAAAGGAAGATGGAGACAATTATGGAAACTCGTTGCCACTGCGAAACCGTCAATCGAACGATTTAAAGGGATTCTGCTGCGAGTGAAGTTTCAAGTATAGCCATATAACCAGAAGCGCACGCGCACACACACACACGCACAAAAATGTTTCAGTAACATATCATAGAATGAAAGTTGATTAAACAGTAAATAATAAAGATATGAGTGATAAATATGAGTTTAAAAAACTATAACAATGACCTTGACCCTCGAAAATTACCGACCAATTGTTCCACAACTTGTACTATAATAAAGAATGCACATTAAGGCTGAACCAATTCATTGCAATCGACAGCCTTTTACCACACACACATACACAACTAACTTAATGTAGATGGCTGACTTCTTGCTACAATAACAACAACAATAACTTTCAATGAGATTAGGAACAATTAATTCCACTCAAATCCGAAATCTCAAAGTTTGGCAAAGAAAATATCTAACACTACGCGTTCCTACAATGGAACACTAAATAGAGAAATCGAATATCAAGGGACTGTAGATTCGAGCACTAAGATAGTGATTATCAACGACATTTCTATGCATGTTAATTTTGAACCCATTAAAAATGTGTGTAAATCACTTATCAGGGGGGATAACTAGTGAGGTTTAGATAACATACAATTAATAAAGTTAAGTTGGCTAGGATAAAACCAATTAGTAAGAGGAAATAAACTCTGACAAAACCGAATTACAATCTCCCACCGCAGCCACCGCGGATTCAAAACCGAAATAAGGCCTTGAAAGGCTTCCTCACTGTATGCAAACAAAAATGTAGAGATCAAGATCAAGAAGTGTGGGAGGAAGGGAGGGAGAGAGAGCAGATAGAGAAACCAAAACCAACTTTTGAGGACTTCAAGAGCAAATATGGAAAGAGCCCGAGGCAGCGAAAAAAAGAACAGTCAGCATTAGAAGTGATCATTTCACATGCAAATAATCACGAAAGCGAAAACAATCAGGAAAGAGCGCAAGAAATTGAGAGAGAAAGAGACGGAGAGAGAGCCAAGACTTGCCGGTCTTGAGTGTGGCCGATGCAGACCCTACATATGGAAGCATACAGAGTAAAAAAGATGCAACTAAGTTTTATTTAGACTTCGGTGAGCCCTATAGTCGGGGCAAAACAAAAGGACGAAACAGGATCCAAACTGCAAGTTTGTTGCATTCCCAATAGGTAACAGGTAAAAGAGTGTAAGGGGCTTTCAAAATTTCAAAATAAACAATAAAAGGCAGAACAAAATAAATTAACATATAGTCGGTTTCCCTATATGGAGGGAAATTATCACAATGGTACTATTATAATTGTCCTTACAAATTTAAACAAATACCATCAACACCCAACGCCAAGGAATACTGAGCCTAGAAAAATCGATATCAATCAAAACAAGGCTTAAATAAAACAGGATGGGTGTTTTGGATGAATACAAACCGGCATAATAGGGCCTTGGCGCGAGGTTTGAATTTCACGATTCCCCCCCCCCCCCCACCCACCCCACCCAACTCCTTTATCAGCCTGACTTAACCAATGAGTAACTAGCCCGTGACATTTGGCATCAAAGACGAGCAAGTTAATTGATTGCAATGTTCAATAAGCAAATCACTTGGTGCTAAAATGAAATAAGCTATAGATTTCAAGCCAAAATTAGGAGGTGGAGAGGTCTTTCACATTGGCCGTTTTGATAGTGATGATGATGATGATTCATAAGCACGCATTGAATTGTTCAGGGTGGAAATTAAACACAGCCTATGGGGGTTAGGCTTTTTTCCGCTTTCACGTGACTTTAAGATAAGGGATTAATTGTGTGTGTTAATAGCAAAACAATCCAGACACACAACACAAATGTAGACATTTCGTGATTGAGAAGGTGTCCAAGAGTAAAGACAAACTTAGAATGATATGAAAGTGGTGGAATAGTGGACATTACTCACAGAACGTTTGATGCAGGTGAGGATACCAGAGCTACACTGAAATGGAATTGAGAGGTGACAATGAATGATAAATTGAAACAAGAAGCAGGGCAAATGCGTGTTTAACAATCTTTTTTTAGTTATAGCCCACAATTCGGCGCAATTTGTATAAGCAGCGAAACAGTGGATCGGCCTAAAACCAATACCAAACGCCGAATGTCAAGAAACTGGCGTTTAAAAAGAACGCATAGACAACACCTGAAGATCTAGCAACACATACCCATTATTGGAGATTATTGAAGGGACATTCTGACATCCTACTTCTATAGCTGAATCATCGAGACTGTGAGAGCATGATGGATGCAGATGGAGACGTCTGGACCTTCATCAGCTACTATCAACCAGATCCTCAGCACTTCAAATGACTTTAACCTTCATAAATAAATTCATCATCGTCATCATCCTCTGTCATCAGTGACCCAATCTAACCTTTCTTGCAAACCTAGATCTAAAGAGGGTAGTAGAAGTCGACTGCCTTGATCAATATGATGACGTCGATTTTAAATCAACTATTTCAACGGACTGTAACAGTTGAGGATACATTTGCCCGTTTCGGTGAATTTATAAGCTGTTTCAGAACAAATATTGAGCTTAAGTGGCAAAAAAATAAGGAGTTCTATAGCAAACAACAAACAGGAGAAGTCGAGTAAAAAGAAGATGAGATTGTGAGCGTGAGTTAGTCTAGATGGTGAACGCAGAATTGAGGTGCAAACCAATTAGCACTTAAAATTACATACACCACAAGTTCGAGAGGAGCCTTGTGAATTTAGTTTTGAATTTAAGGAACCTGGACACTTCAATATAGAAATAGATATATGGGTATTGAGTCATAAACAGAGGATAAGAGAGACATTAGTGCCCATAAGGTGACGATGGTGTTGCGTGAAACTCACTTTAAGGTCGTATTTTCGATGAACGGTGACACGAGGACTGAAGACGTTGCGCATCGCCAGTAGGTAAGTCTCCTGGTCATTCACTGTGATTCGGTACATGCCCAAATACTGCGGTAGAAGAGTCTGGCCGTGCACGTTGACTATATACTGCAAACAAAGGGAAGAGACAAGGTGAACAACTTAATTTAAAGGTGCGCTGGAAAATTCATTCTCTTAAACTTTGAGGCAAGTAAAATTTTGAACGCACGCGTACTAACCTTTTAGGCATGTAAACGAAATAATACTGAACTAATTTAACTCACTGTTTTAAAAATAAGAAAAGCAAACATTGAAACCAATGAGAATGCGCAGCAACAAGTGTGATGTGCACCATAACATTATCGTCCATAGAGAAAGCCCGAATTCCCCCCCCCCCCTCCATTTAAAATATACGATACTCCCGTCAAATCTAAAGGAATTTGGACTCCTCATAAGGTGGCCAACACATTCTTCCTCCAATCACTTGAATTCAACTCTTTTCCCGTATGTTCGGCAAAGACAAAGGCATATATAATTGTCTTCTTTTTAGGGAGCATTCACGACATGAAAAAAATGACATTGTTTAAATAATTGAATTGAAACAACTCTAACTCCAACAAGCAGATAAAAGAAACAATATCGATAATTTTGCATGGTAGTACACAACACGAAGATAAACGAATTCACAACGCAAAACCAATCAGAGTGATTGTGTATTAGACCTTCTTATGGTTATTGACAGGCACAGTTTCCTTTCAGTACCTAAAATCAAGACATCAAATAATTAATTAACCAATTCGTTCCTTCCTCCATTTCCAATAACTGCAGCTAATACGATAAGACCTTATCAGATGCGTCATTACCGATTGGTTTTGGTTAAACAAGTATTAAAAAAACAAGAAGAGCAAGTAAGAAATTTTCGAAAATGTTTTCACTCACTCATCAACATGTACTCCCCCTCCCCACCACCACCACCACCACCACTACCATCGCTAATTATCACTAAATAAATTGCGCAGAACAGCAAGATATCGCCAAACTAGAATTCCTATTACTAACGTAGAAGGATATTATATTGAATGTCAGAATATGTGCATGTTACACCAATGTCCATTGGCAGTTGATAGATGACTCTATAATCCAGGTAGACCATGCTAGCGAAGGACAATCACACACTTGCAACCTGAAAAAAATGTTTATCAAACCACATTTAGGACAGACTCGAAAAACGTTTCTAGCTCGAATCATATTGCGGAAGCTGGTTACAATCGATTATGAGACTTACAAACCAACGGATTCATCAGTTTAAGTAAGTTGTTGAATTATTTGTAGAACGGTACCATTTCGCTAAACTTGAATTTCATACCTAAATTACATTACATTACACAACATAATGGCAGCTAATGCAAATGAAATTCAAAGACCATTTACACTGCATTGGGATAGAGATGTAAGGTGAAACGTTGATTGAAATGCGATTTCATTTAAATAAAGCATTAAATTCTCAACTTTACACGAACGATGAGAGCGCAATACTATTTATTGAGGTGATTTCTGATTGGTTTGCGAGCTATTTTTTTTTCATAAAAGCCATTGCCAAATCGTTTCAGCTGTTTGAGGTATAGTGACAAGTTTGGCAGAATTGCTCAAAACTAACAACCGATTTTAATTGAAGATAAATCACCACATTTGAAGAAAAACTGTTTAAATCGAATCAAAATTGCAAGGTAATCTAGGGGGAAACTATAAGATTCCCAAACGGTGAAATATACAAGTCGACGCGTTAAAATATTAAACGAGCTTACATTGGCAAAGACTGCATGTTTGTTTGATAATTAAATACATCTTGAGGCAAAAAATTCGTATTCAAAAATAGTGATTCTTTTAAATATGCCCCCCCCCCCCACACACCCACTAGGCTTATTGGATTGGAATTTTGATTTAAAGATGAAATTTCAACGGGTAGTGTACAGATTTCATAAAATAGCACATACCGAGTGGTGATGGAAGAATTGGAATTTATACGTTTGAGGAGACACCACAGTTGTGATTCGCACCACTTCGACTTAAAAATTACCATAGACAGTGAAAATTAATTGTGCCCAGATTAGTTTGGAGAAGAGATTCGTAGGTAAGTGGATGGTGTTACTCTGCTCTGAATACCAATCGCCAGAGTGAAACTGAAAGACCCTTACATTTTCGTCAACTCACACACATTCATTGAGTTAGTTCAAATGTGTTTAATACCCAAATTGGCAAAAGCATTTAGCATGAAAAAGACTACTTATACTTGTAAATGCAGTAGCTGCACTCCCAACTTCTACTTGAAATTATGAGAAAAAAATATTACATTAAAAGTAAAAAATGTCATAATGGAATAAACCTGACCTCTTCGTCATAAAGTACTGTTTTGGTTCATTTTAACTAATTGAATGTCATAAGCCAAATCTCTCCTGCTAAGCTGGAATAACGGGTCGTTTTTTTAGAAATTTTATTGATATCAAGTCTAAATATCATGAATTCTTACAGTATGAGAGGTTTCATCAAGTACTGGCAATTTTTAATAACTCACGCAGATTCCAAACCTGACAAGGAACTTTCTAAATTAAGTCAGCCTTAAACGCGTCTGGCATCAAAGACTTTATCAGTCTAATTAAACAATTACATTACACCATTATTACTTGGCGCTAGAGTATCTCAATTTAAATGAATTAAAGACTCAGAAGCAAAAATAGAACCAATTGTCGATTGGCGAATACCATCGACACCATCAAAGAAAAATCAAATGCGCCTCACGAAATCCAGCCATAATTTCCACGGAAAATTAACAAGAGCCAGCATAACGGATATTGAAAAATAAAAGTAGAAAAAGAATGCGATCCTTTCCTTGTGGATAAAACATTTGAAAAGAATCTTGCTTTCAATAGATGAAGTAGTGCATTTATAATTATAAGTATTAAGAAGTCTTCGGAATTGAAAAAACAATCAATTTTACAATAAAAAAAATTATTCAAGAAAAACTATAATATCTATGACACCGGTTTGAGAATGTTTGACTCTAATACGATAGAATTTCCAGCACAGCATTGCACAAAAATGGACCATCATTTTCCGTATTACCTAATATCGATATAGACAGTTAAGATAGTCAAGTTCAGAAAAAAATAGGTATTTCACAAGAATAAAAGGGAGTCCCCATTTACTTGAAATAAATTGTCAAATTAGCATAAGAAAGGCCATTTAAGAGCGTGACGAAAACACAGAAAATTGTGGGAATTTGCGGATTTTTTTCCAGACACATCATTATGACCCAAAAATCCATTGATAGACGTCTAGCGACTAGAGTGCGTTAGTTGGTAGTGGTCATTAAAGAAAGATCCATTAAAAAAATTTATCAACTGATCAATAACGCTGTTGAGAAGCATGCTTAATTTCGCGTTATATGATGGCAAAGTAGTCAATGTGCTAGTGTGCTATGTGGACGACCGAAGACAATGATTGGGGATAATTGAAGGGCGTTCCTCATAAGAACAGCTCCCAGACAATCACCTATTGTCTAAGTCAAGAGCACTTAACACATTCCAGAATAGATTTCAGGAGACCCCTGCTTTTGGCAATAAAGATCATAAGCCTGATTTCGATAAATGCTGCATAGTTATAAATAAGACCAAATCCTCACTTTCCTGAAGACGGATAAGAAGCGAAATTTCCACAAAAATGAACAAATTTTAAGTATATCCGATAAAAAGGAGGGGAGGGGGTCTAAATACCAATTAGGGGTATATTTAAAAGAGGTAAAATTGAAATCTACAACTTTTCTAATCAGACATTCCCACAGTAAATAAAATACATTGAAAGCCAATTAGCTCGCGACTATTCATGAAGAAAAAAAAAATCCGACGCATTCCTCTTTCCAAACAACAAAAAACGCAAACACGTTTACATAAAAATTACCAAACAATGACAGAGTCAGCCTGCAGAAAAGTTGAAAATGCCACAACACACGCACACATGACTGGAGTAAACATCGAGGATGACGGGTGAGGACATGTTAAAAAGATGGGTGAAGAAGACACGTTTTAGTCAAAAATTTGCTATGGAATAAGATATGCACAAAAGACCCCCCCCCCCCCCCTCGCGTTTTGTCTTCAACCATATAACCTCACTTTAAGCAAAAAATACGCAATTTAAACAAAGCGCGCCTAGGAGTAGGATAAAAAGACTGCGACAATAATGGCACAAGAGAACTCGCCCCAATCTCCAAGGGGCAGTTTAGGGAATTCAAACGTTGAAGTTGATCGACGACCAACTAAGCAAATACTGTACAACCCAAATGAAGCAAGAATTCAATGATATGATAGGCTTTCTAATACACTGCTAATGAGTGGTGTATTATTGTGTGGGCAAAAATAATGCACTGGACAATTAAATTACTAGTTCTGGTCAAACAATAGTGAATTTAAGAAATGGATGAAAAAAGAAGATACTTCACAACTCTAAAACCCTTCTAATGCTTGGAGACAAGATAATACTATTGCCAAATCTTTCAAAAATTGACCGCTTCCAGGTAAGCACTTAATTTTACCTGCAAATGGAGTTGACAAAAAAGGCAAAACTTTCACTGTCAAAATCAGCATTATTTTCAATAACCTAACAACCTCCTTCTATCTAAACCAAGTTAAAAAACCAAACTTCAAACGGCGGTATTTTTCCTTTCCATCCAAGATGGTTCGACAAACAACACCACCAAGCATAACTCGTTCCACTGAAAAGTTCATGTTTTAATTGAGGACGGATTTTAGGCACTTTCCTCAACTTCTCTTTCAATTCTTTCCAAACTTCATTAAAAGCAATAAATTAGCAATAAATTTAATAAAATGTATTAAAATTTACTATAAGCCTGAAGTAACGAAATAACTATCGACATTCACAAGCAGGAAAGTATATGGAAATGTTCTCATAAGCCCAAACTCGAGAAAATGGGTTAATTTGACAAGAATGGAAAGCCATCAATGAGGAGGGAATCTTGTTTAAGAAACTCACATTATGTCAGTATAGATGAATAAAAAGGCAAAGATGACACTTAAAAATTAGCTTCAATTTACAACTGTGCAAAAAGCATCAGCACTGCAAAAATTATAGTCACGACAGTGTTAAAACACAGTAGTACACAATACAGCACGTATTTATTTATTTATTTATGTCAATATGGTTCAATTTTAGTACCCGTGAATGCACAGTGACGACTATATCTACAACAACAAGGCTCTTTTCGTTTTGTGAGATACAGCCTGGAGTTGGAAATCGCCAAAACACATTTGCATAATTCAATTTGAATTAAACGAAATCATTTTTACAAATAAACAGCTTAAAAAGTTAAAGATGACTTTTTTACTCCCGAAATGCAGAAACAGAATAAAAAGCAGGTCTATTACAGAAAATATATAATATGCTTTCCACAAGGGGTCATATTGATCGATTGACCACTAAACTAAGTTATCGTGTTGAAACCTTGTGCGAAATTTAAACCTAAAATTGCCGTTTTAACAGACTGGGATCTAGGAGAAGTCAATTACAAGAAATGACTGATGAAGATTCTTAAAACTAAGGCATAAGGACTTTGTCATTTGCCTTATCTCCTTGAGCAGCAAAGCTAACTAGTTGTCTTGAAATGGAATGTCCGCCAAGTCATTGCCTCAATGATTACTGCAAGCAAAATTTTCGGACTTGAAAAAAAAGAATTTGCTTAGCTTATCACACATTACATGCGTAGTCCAAAGCACTTTTATCTTACAGATCTCTCTACTACACTTGCATATGGAATAAGAAATTGGAGGTCACGTGTGCACTGAATACATTTTTAGAGTAAAACATGCAGCGCAAGCTAAAGAGTACGATTCGTTATTAAATGACTGCCATTTCTCTCACACAAATTAGGTAGAATGCAAGAAAATTAGTCAACTCACCTCATGGTAATGCTCAATGAAGTGATGCATCTGTTCCACTTCCTCTGAACTGATGGTTTTGAGGACATAATGCCGGTTATAGGTGACCAGAAACTTGGACCCCGATTTCCCACTTACTGTGTCCCAGAGGGGTTGGTATCTCGTAAAGGATTCCCAATAGTCATTCGTATCAACATTGAATCTCTCACGCAAATTTTGAAAGGCTAGTGGACAGTACTCCTTGAATTTGAACCGACTTGGCATATTTTCTCTAGAGAAAAACACATCAGAAAACTACTAATTCCAATCTCACTTGTTGAATAGATGAGCCTTCACCTTAATTTTCAAGTAGGCTTTGAAATCATCCTTGAGGAGAACTGCACGCGGTTTCATGTGTTGAAGAGTGGAAAGAGAGTGATTAATGCCCCACATGAGAACGGATTTCAAGGGTTCATTGGCTCGAAAAAGCTTCAACTTCTGGCGACCGCCTTTGAGTTTCTTTTGTTTAGACTGCGTTGCCATACCTGAGATAAAGAAAAAGCAAATTTGCAAATAGGCTCTTAAATGACTTTAATGCGAGCTTTACTACTCCTAGTGCCAATTGAACTGAGGCAGTGGATAAATAAACAGGGGGGGGGGATTAATCATTAGCATTACTTATACCAATGAAAGTTCTAGTAGAGATAAGTATACGAGAACAAAGTTTAACAATAAAGGAAGATTTCCTAATTGGAAGTTGAAGTAAAGGGGGTACGATTTTGCCATAAGCCAAACAAACACGAAATGTCCTAACGCTCATTCGCCTTAATAGAATCGTATAGGCATGAATTTAAATGTTATTATAAATAAAGTAAAAGGAAGTGATTTAGAAGAATAATATTTGAGAAAAAAATAAAAGGTAGGGATTTAAAATAAAAGTTAACTGACAAACTTAGAAGAACCAACTAATTAAGCAGTTATTTGTTGTGATAGCAGCTCCAAATATTTAGAAGCGAATCATCAATTTTATCAAGAAAATTGTCGAAATAACTATTACTGACTACAAGAACTACGGTGAAGAATGACTGAAAACCTGGTTCATTGGTGATAGCTAAATAAAATTTATCAGAGTCTAGTCTCTAATTTCAGATAAATTAAAGTAAGTACATAAAGAGAACGAAGGATAACAAAAAAGCTAAGAGAACAGTATAACATTCAAATACATAGTTATAAAATTGATAAATAGAAAAATGTTTGTTTACGCTACGAATTCAGGACAAAGCAATTAACATTTCTGAATGAACCTTAAATAAGACTCTAGAAAAATGAATTCAGGACCGAGTTCGATATTTGAAATAAATTTAAAAAGATATTTACTATTCTAAAACTAGAGTTGGGTTTAATTAAGCCATGCATGTTCATTAAGTCATAACAGAAAATATCTAAGCAAAATAAATTCAGTATAATGAGTGAAATAGATTACTGAACAGTTGCAAAGGTTAGGAGGTTTGAATATGACAATTTTACAACCTAAGTTGGCAATCGATTTGATATAAATAAAACACAAGCACTTTAGATAGCGAATATAAATAAATTTTACCGTCTAAGTGTTTACGAATACGCATAATCTGTAAAAACACAGTAAAATAAATGGAGAAAGGGCACAAACATTTGGAAGATTCACTTGACTATTACATTTAACAATTGAGTGACTCATTTTTCGACACTTATTAATTATGTGATAGAAAAGGCATTGATATCAACAACCAATAAATACTTCAAAGCATATGACAAATTAAAAAAATCACCTTGATAAAATGTGAAAGTTAAGTAATAAATGAAGTGGCATCTACCTTATAGCTCAACCGGCCACAAAATTCGCGGATTAACAGAGACTACGATTTCATTGGCCAGAATAATATTTTAGATAAAATGAAACACACAAACAATTTTCAGCATAGGGAAAAATGTTACCTTTTATTCAAACCTTTAATATAATTTATGTTTTGGTATCTTTTCTTATTTTGATAATTTAATGGATTACTCAAAATATGTTGCATAGAAGAATCTTTAACTTTTCTTACATGGTAATTATATTGCATCATCGTATGAATGATAGCTAATGCCAGTCAATAATTTATAAATTAGAAATAGTCACAAGCATTTTAATTAAAGTGTGTTCAATATCCTAGTTTATCCTCCCTGCTTTTCTCTAAAGTCTTTAAAAATGCCTTTAATGCTATCGAGCTATTATAAAATCTTACGTGACTTTAATCATGGTGACTCATATTGTTCTTCCTGAATGAATATATCATATTAAGGATTTACTTTCAGTTATAATCGGATTGTCAAATTAGTTTCATTTACGCTTCACTTTGATGTCAAGTTTTTGTTTTGTATAGCTTAATAGAATTCCTTTATCCAATTCACACAAATGAAAATAGTACATAATTTTGTATTCGTTTTTATACCAATATCGTACCTTAATAACTGATTAAACTTCTCGAATAAAATATATACTTATTAGTAAACTCATTAGTTAAGATATGTCAAAAAACAATATAATTGCCCTTACTTGGTGATCCAAAACTGTTTGCATCATCACTCGTTGAGATTTATACTATAGAGTTAATATGATCTATTAAAGTGATTCTAGTGTTAGATTAGAACAGATCGTTATTTAGAAAATGTATCTTATTCTATTTGGATAAATAATTTAGAATTCAACGCATATCAACAACAAATAAAATAAAGGGCAAATTTATTAAAACGACACCAGAAACAATGGATCACTATGAGTAATATAGTTCCATTAAGATGATTGAGATATGAGCCAGGAAATTTGTTAATAACCTCTTTTAGTATCAATAATTTTTCATGACCTACGTAGCCCAAAGTTAGGATTACGTAAAATTTTAATATTTGAAACTGCAAACAGATATGGTATCTCACCACTTCTAACTGTTTCTTAAACATTACATGCAGTGGGTTTCACTCCACGATACTTAAAAATACGTTGGGTAAAAATGAACATATTCATGGAAGTGAATCAATTGCAATACTTCTTTTGCTAGATGATCTTGGTGACGTTACTTTCAAAAAATTTAATATAATTTGATATTGACAATGGTCATTACACCGTGATCTTCAAAACCTCCTTTCTGCTTACTTTTTCAGATTTTTGTTTTGCTACAATTGGAATCTTACAATTTAGACACTGGATAATCCAGATATCTCGGTTAAATAGTTTGAAAAATATTAATCTTCGTAAAATCCATTTCCAAGCCGAGTATTTTTTTGTTTTTTTAATGTCATTTTTGAACAATACGATTCATCTAGAGCCCAAACTATGTAGGTAAACTAGATATTATACCTTGTTTAATTAAAAATGGTTTTTTTCGATTATTCTTGTCCAAATCACCAACTGTTGGTTTTAGCCTGTTTCTTTATTAAGTCACTTAAAAAAAATTGGCTCCTGTAAAGAAAATGACTCAATTATTTGTAATAACATGTTTTAAAAATGAACTGATAACTGACTAAACAAAATACGTAGTTTTGATGAGATAATAAATGTGAAGTAATGTACTTAAATACATTTTGGCTTATAAAGCTTTAAAAAATTAAATAATATTAATAAAAATCAATGCAAAGGGATTAACATGAACATGATTTGATAGCGAAATCTTCCCACCTCTGGATAACTAGAAATTGTCTTGAATGGCCTATTCCTGATTTGCCCTTCCTAATAGCAATCGAAACTAACATAGGTTTCTTCTCCAGTATCTTACTTCCTTTCTAACCCAATATTTATCTCGCTTTCATTTCTTTCCTATTCTGCTACGTTTAGAGCTTCTGATTTTGCAGAGTGCCTAATAAGAAGGTCGCTTTGTTAATATATTTCATTTTCGTCAAACAAATACATGATCTATTGAATTGCGTGCTTTATGTGTCTATGGGGATAAGACATTGCTTGCCTATCTACGTTATAAATTAGGTTCAGCAGGAAATACAGGTCCTAATTGTTGTTTTTAGGGTATTTAGCGTTGTCCTATACTGAGCTAACAAAATAGAATTTGTGTTTGAAAGCAAAAGGCATGATTTGACAATAGTTAATGGTTAAAAATAGAATAACTAATGAACATTAAGGAAAATAAATATTAAGAAAGTGCTCTAACCACTTCAATTATTCTGAGATTTCAATTCTTAATTCAAGGGAAAACTGTTAAGCAAGCATAGCCACAAGACTGTTGTCATATGGTGGGTAAGCACAAAGTTTCTGGAAGATAAGGGCCATTTGAACTGGTGCACTGCTCAGCAAGTTTATTCAGAAAAGCTGTGTAGTTATCGCTTTTCATAACATTTATTCACGTTAACGCCTTTAATTTTTTTTATTTTCAGTGATTATCCACGATTGTGTTGCGCGTATTTGGCAAGTCAAATTTAGTTCACCCTGAGTGGTATTAAACACTGTCCTCTTGTGGTTGTTCTGATTATAGAAACGCAGAGGGGCTCAATAGATTAATAACCTCTTCTGAAATATGAGTGAGAAAAAATTAAATAAGGACATATCTTTTTCCACAAGTTTTGTGCTCGTTCTCCTAGGTAATTAGCGCTCTACGAAGATGTCCATTTCTTCAAATCCTTTGGCTGATAGAGATATCTTCATGCAAGCGCAATTTCAAAGGGCGTTTAATCTTTGTATTTACCTGTATTTGTAAAAGAACGGTGAAATGATTACATTTGGAAACATTGTTATTTTGCCACGATAAACGAGGTATTCTAACCAAAACTGGCATAAAATTGTAGTTAGCCAATATGGAGTTTCGCGGGTAAAGATATTTTGAACTTTGGCGGTTCAGGCCAGTAGGCGCAAATTATATAATGTAGATTCTCATAGAAGAATATTTGCCAATTTCTTCATCATTGAATTAGTTATAAATGCGGGGTGTGCGATAGACTTACCTCCTCGTGGTACATCCTGGGCAACGTATACTCATACGGCAAAAAAGTCTATTAACCGGCAGTTGACTTCAAACTACCATGACCCTACTGTATGACATATTCGACCACTTCCACAGTACTACATCACATTTTTTCTAAATTTTCAACCTTCGCCTTTGAAACACTCTTCAGTGCCCCTCCTCTCGACATATTTTCACTTTGATGTTCCTTCCCCTCTGTGAAGACTGAAGTCACACTTTGATGTTCCTTCCCCTCTGTGAAGACTGAAGTCAACTAAAGGGCTAATGATAACCATCAAAACGCCTGCCATTTGATAAAAATAAATAAATAGTTATAAATGCATAATAGGAAGAAAATTTTGCTTGTTATCTTTTATATACCCTTTAATGGGGTGTGCGATAGACTTACCTCCACGTGGTGCACAATGGGCAACGTATATTCATTCGGCAAAAAAGTCCATTAACTGGCAGTTGACTTCTCACTTCAAACTACCATCACCTCACTCTATGCCATATTCGACTATTTCCACAGTACTCACCTCACCTTTGTTCTACCTTTGTGTTTGTCTCTTACATCTTTGAAACACTCTTCTGTTCCCCCCCCCCCTCTCGACGTTT